GTTAGAAGGGGGCCATGCAGGTTAGTGAGCGTCGGACTGATCAAATGGTGTAATTTTATCTAATACTCTCTCTCTCTCTCTCTCTCTCTCTCTCTCTCTCTCTCTCTATCTCTCTCTCTCTCTCTCTCTTACCCCCCTCTCTCTCGCGCGGCTTCTCTTGAAAACAACCAACTCCTCAGCACACACACCCGCCAATGCGAGTGGTCCATTGCACTGTCGATTGGCATTGACCCGGGCGTCTGAAGGAAGGCCTGGGAGGATGGCGTCAAGATCAACTATTCAATCCCCTCGCATCAATCTACACGCAAGCTGGAAAACCCACTCGCCGCCCCCTGCCTTTTCACGCTCCACGAAAAATTGTCGGTGGTGATACAGGTCCGCTCGAAGTGCGTTCCGCTTGAATTTGTCCCCACATCTGCAAAAAGTAACCGTACTCCGACAAACCTACCGTGCCATCCCAACCCGCAAAGGAATCCAGCCCGCGTTATCATTGAGCTTGTCTAGATATAAAGATCACGCCTAAGAAACTACTACTCGCGCCTGGGGCGGGGAGTCCACCATAACCTGGGTGTTCTCCTTCTGCATCTCCAAGCTCTTGAAGCGGTCCGTGTTCAGAAAGCGGAGGAGGAGATTGGCTTCCAGCATACGCTTCACCGCCAGATACGCTCGTCTGAAAATCATCCTGAAAAGCCGTCATTTTGAGGGGTTTAGGCTGTGGTTAACGGGGGAGGTGGGGTGTTTCAGCTCTGCCGCCTTGCCTGGACATGGCCGTTAAACCCACCCCTGTCAAAACGAGCACACGGATCTACGTTAACCCTGGGTGGAGGGGATCGGCGGCGCCACCATGTCCAACAGAATCTCCTTCACACGCACCATCCAGGTGCTTGGAGAACAAGAAACTTTTGCCGGAAAACATGAACGTGGTTTGATGCCTGAAAAACACTCTCTTAACTCGAAATGTCCGGGAAAGTGAGATAACGCTAATGAGATCGATAATGACATACCAATTATCTTCCACGACCAAGGAAAAGCACGCGAGTATGTACAAGCGTCGGAAACGATAAAAACTGTGTCAACACGCGCTCTCTCCTGTCATGCCTCTTTCCCGTTTACCTTCTCTCCGCGTCGTTGACGTCCTCGAAGAGCTCTTCGCCCTTGTGGTACAACGCGAGGATAAGCTTTCTTTCCTTGTCGCTGAAGTACGAGAAAACAACGGGGAAAGCATGGAAGCACCGAACGGGGGCCTCTGTCACGAAGTCAGGCAGCAGAACAGCCAGCAGGGGGGACTTCGGTAAAGGATCTCCAAAGATATGAACCACCCGGAACATCGTTCGGGTAGATAGGAACTGGTGGGGTCTCAAAGACAGCCTGGAAAAAAAACGTGGTACCCATGTCGACCTAATATGAGGTTTGTTGCCCTATCCTGAGCTGGCGTGGCCCTTCGCTTCACGTTCATGTTGGTTAACGCCGAAGATCAAATTATTGTACCTTGCTCATAACAGAGCACTACACCGCATGGTGTGCTGGACCAATTCGCACCCAGCCTATAACCCCCTGAAATAGAAGCCGTTTCCGAACTGGCTTGAATGCAATCGCCGCCGCGATAATAGCATCACGTCCGACCAGATGAAGGTTTGGTGGCGTTCGCAAACACGAGTACAAACATCCACGTCAACGTGTTTTGAGTCGTGCTCGTCTTCCCTGTTGCAGCTCACCTAATGTTTACTTCCTCGGGTGAGCCGGCCTTGATGAAGGTGTCCGTGATGTAGCAGAACGTACCGAACTGAGTCGGAAATGATGACCCCGAAGATGCTCTAATCGTTGTGGCATAGTCGCCGTTCTGATACCTGACGCGAGAAAAGAGAGAAACAGGGTTTCGGGCATCGATTGACCGAGAGTAGATTGTACGTCGGGGTCGACTTTTCCCTCAGAGTAGACTTGGTTGTAGAAATAGCTCGATGCCGTGTTGTCGTTGGCTCCAATATGGAAAACTACCAACAACGCACAGGGAAACAACGATGACAATATATCGGCAGACACAAGGAGACTTTTCGGAGAAACCTTTTGCGGAGTTGTACGCAACAAGAAAAATATCGACAAAGCAGGTGTTCCATGAGCCTGATGCTTGAAAAGCACAAGCCTCTATACAGAACCAGGACACGCGCTCGATCCCGCGTCGCGCTTAGCATGCGTCTGTCCACACGAGGTACATAGCGTGACGGGGAAGCGATGGCCAAGGCGGCTACAAAGAAGCGTCCCTAAGCGCGCAGCCGGGCCGCATGCGGGTGAGACGGGCCTTCTGCCGGTGAGGAGGGCTTCGCCGTTTCATCACGACGAAATACGTTTTGCCCCTTCACACGCTTTCAAGCAGCCCGTTCTGATCTCAGCGGCAGGAAGGTGATGCACGCAACCACCCTGATACAGAGCTGAGTACGCAGAGCTGAATACAGTACGCAGAGCTCAGTACAGTACGCAGCCCGCTGAACAGGACCACACCCCAGTAGCATAGTCGGAACGGCCGCTCCAATCTTCCCCCGAATAAACTCTACTCTCGCGACCGCGGTTTCAAGAGAATGCTCATCCACATCTTCTCGGCATGCAGGGACAACATTCCTGGGCATGAAGCGTTAGGCGCGGAAGAGAACTCCGCAGCGACCCAAACGGGTTTCATATAGTGACTCAAGCCGATTACGTAGGCATTCACGACCGCGCAGACCGCTGGGAACACTCGAAGAAGACACCGAAACGCCTTCGAAACGCAAGGGTCCGCGGGGTGCCCGGAAAACTTTCGTATCACACAGCAGGACTGGTGATATCGTTCGCTGGCCGCAGCGTACCAAGATGTCCAATGCACACGATAGTGTCGGAAAGCAAGGCTACAAACAAGATGCGCACGGCATCAGAACACGATAGCTCCCACCACACCATCCTTATTGTCTGTATTTCTATGTCCATCTCCCCCCCCCCGCCCCCCGACCCCCCGACTTTACTCACCGAGAAACCTCGCTCAGAAAGAGGAATGACTCGTGGCAAAGCGCCCTCTTGGAATAGTCCTCGAACGCGACGGCCAGCAGGGGTGTCCTCACAATCCGCTCGAAGTCCCACAAGTCTATGTCCTGCTTATGCGAGCGACTTCGACGGCCGCCATCGCGGCCGCGGTCGTCGCCTCTCTCCGATTGCCCCCTCCGGACAGCATCAAGTCTGTTGCCTCCGATGCTGTTGTCGTTGGATACGAACCATGTTGCAGTCGTCACGACGGAGGAATTTGTTGGTTCCCGGTCGGTCCACGTGCGGGGAGCAACAGCACCGTTGGCGTCGGCGCTGGATGTGGTTATCACACCCCTGCCGATGGCGGCCGAGGCGGCGGCATAGCCAGCGCTACCGCCTCGCCGTTCTGTTGTTGTTATGCCCTTGGCTGGGGCCTCTCCAAGCTTCCCTTCCTCGAGCGTGGTTTCATCTTCGCTTTCGCTACACATCATTGACGAGTCGCAGTCCAATCCTGACGAAACCCCCGACGCTCTTCTCGCCGTGCTGCTAGCGAATTCATGAAGGGGGAAGGGGATGCGCTCATACGATTTAGTGTCTGTGAATGGTTTGGTAATGTCCACGCATTTCTATGGAGGCGGAAAACTGCAACTGCACCTACTCAAACGACCGAGAGGCGCAGATACCTTCGGCAACGCGCTACAAGCTTGTGCTGCCGAAGAAGAACATTGATGATGACCCGACCTCTTGCGTATCCATCAGACGATCGCAGCCTCCATCTGTCTGTCCCCCAACGACGGCGTGGACAGCCTACCACGTCACCCCTCTACCTCCCCTACCACCAATTCCGAATGTAGACCCCACGTGTCCTCGTAGAATAACCCTTCTCGACCTAGGGTTCGACTCTCCCTTGCCTTTACAAGACGCAACAACTGTAACCTACCTACGTACTGGTACGCGGGTGGGGGGTTCTCAAACCTTGAGATATTAATATGAGTATTGTACAAAAGCGGCGAACGATGAAGGGGATTACACGCCAGAACGAGAACAGCAAATCTGTGATATCCCAAAGCACCAGAACTCAACAGCCACAACGGAGAACCACCGACAAAGCGCCGGCCGGCTGTACCCACAGACCTACGTAGCGCCTTTAGACCCACGACTAAAACGCCGCCGCAAAACCTCAGTGGCGCAGGGTGCTGTGCGTCCGTGCCTGCCTGCTCTCTTGCCATCACTATTGTAACCTCCTGCCCTTCTTGCGCGGTCGCTTACCTGTGGGGTTCCGTGTGGTCAGGCAGTACCCGATTGGCGTAGTTGCGCCTGGTTGCTGCGAAAGGATCCGACGCTAGGCGTCGCAGCGGGGCAACGATGCTGCGCATTTTGGAAGTTGGGGACAACGCGTGATGAAGTCACTGTTGGTACGTGTTTGCATAACTTGCCGTGCACTATACATACGCCGTACGGACACTCAGACGTCCAAGAGCAAGAGGTCACGATACCACGACTTTCGCGTTAGCGCGTGCCGAGCAGTCACGCTCGCCCGTTCGCTAGCGGTCGCAAAATAATGTCCTCAATACATGTTTCCTATCCGAAGCCCGTTCATTACTATCCAAGAAGAGAACCCAAGTTTTGGACGAATCAAGCGACCACATCCCAATATTCAAACCAACTCCGACAAACGGCCGCAGTAAGCCTACCGAATCCTCCGTCCAGACGCTCAACTACGTCATATATCTGATCGACTGAAGACAAACCCCTCCCCATACACACACGCACAACGAGCAGATACACAAATATCGCACACCTGACGCCGAAGAGAACAATCATGAACAAGACCGAAAGGTTGTTTGCCAACCATCTCCGCTCGTAGCACCCCCCCCACAGGCCGTCGATCTCCTGCACGACTGGTGTGGTCACAATTGAGGGGAGAGGGTGACGATGATGAGGGAAAAGCATAAACGCATCGCCACAATCTCGGCAGTTGCGAAACCGGACAAAAAGCGAGCGTAGGGTGCCGCGCCATCAAGGGTCAACGTACCTGCGATGAAGAGAGCAATGCGCGCGTCGAGGCATTTCGACCGACCTCTGATACTAGATAATATTTGACCATCTAAGGCCCATGTTTATGATTTTCAAATCTTTATCTTCCTTTCTTTGGACGAATGTTGACTTTTTTGACCTTTTGGGCAGTCTGCCTCCACGAATGCGAATCAGCTATTCGACCTCTGAGAATAGTCACAGCTTTGCCTGAGATGTATACAGGCCGCCTATATGTTTCGCCAGGGCCCACGTTTGATTTTTGCAACATGCGCAATTTTCACGCAAGATTTTTCCAACACCAGCTTTTGGACAGATCTTGGCCCAAGATTTGCTCCGAGGTTGTCTTTCGGCCGAATCTTGCACATTTTGCTCTGCTGGAAAAAAATCAAACGTGGACCCTGGCGAAACAAATAGGCGGCCTGTATACATCTCAGGCAAAGCTGTGACTATTCTCAAAGGTCGAACAGCTGATTCGCATGCGTTCGGGAGGCAGACTGCCCAAAAGGTCGAAAAAGTCAGCATTTGTCCAAAGAAAGGAAGATAAAGATTTGGAAACCATCAACATGGGTCTCACCAGTCAACATCTGAGCACTGGTCCGATGGTCTAATTTAATCTAATATAATATATGCTCAGAGCTTGTGAGCACCCGGCTGGGACAAATGGCCTTCCGGCTCAATCACTGGGATTGTGAGTAGAGGTCTCCGGGGCCGGACTCCGCCACTCGTTGCTGTTTCGTAAACAAATGGTGATTCTCTCTGTAGGTGGACCACCGGGATCCGAAACCGTGCGCATGACCAACTGCAAGAACGCTTTGACCATTAGACCACTAACTTTGTGTAAAAGCTTTGACCATTAGACCACTGAGCACTTATAATAGTGGTCTAATGGTCAGGACAAAGTGTTCTTACACAAAGTTCCACGCACGGGTTCGAATCCCAGCGGTCCACTTACAAAAAAAAGCACCGTTTATGTACCGATCAGCGTGTGGCGAGGGGTCCAGCCCCGGAGATCTCTACTCACTCACTAACTCGATGTGTCCCAGCCGGGTGCTAACGAGCTCTGAGTATATCTTTTATTAGATAAAATTAGACCATCTGACCAGTCAACCCAGTCAGATGGTCTAATTTTATCTATTATCTGAGAATCGCGCCGTGCTATAAGGCTAGGTCTCGACGACAAGGATGACAAGGAGACGGAACTGGTGCTATTAACGAACCACACTTACACTTCGGGTTAGGAATAGCAAAAATACACGGGGGGTGCTACTGTGTGGACGAGGCTGTCCACATCGGCTTCCGTGGGCCTCACTTGTGATGAGCCCGATGGTCGCAGTGACAATGATGAGCTCCGTGCTGATGCTGAAGAGATCGTCAACGTTCCTGATGAACGGGTAAATGCAAGCCAGCGCCACCGCCAGCACACGGGCCTCAATCTTCAGGATAGTGGTCTGCTTCGAAATTGCGTCCCTGGGCAAGGAACGCGCGCAAACGCGGCGGGGAATACGAACGACAACAACCACTCAAGGCACGAGCGATGGGCGATATCTCATGTACCGAAACACCCACTAAGGCACAATGAGCAGAGAGTAGGCGTACTGCAGCACCATCATTGTAGAGGAGATTCGTGGTGCCCATCTAGAAACCAAGCGACGAAGGCCATCGTCGTCATATCAAGGAACCTCTGGAGCCGCGTACGAACATAGAGTGAGTTCTCACTCTCTACGTGTGCAACGTCATGTGCAGCAGCATGGCCGGGGGTGTTTTCTCGTTTCGTATTGTGCTCCATCTCACCAAACCCCCAAGGTGTGCTCGTGATAGATGGGGATTGCCAACATTCCCACGCTGGCGACCAGCAGCACCACCATGTAGTTGCGCTCCTGTCGTCGGCGAGTACATGGATGAACCACAGCAGAAATATCGGGCCGGGGGGGAGGGACTCATGTAAAGGCATGTCGTAGTCGTTACACCACTGACCTCGCACCCCTAAAATGCCGGGACGGAGCGAAATGCTGGGTTCTCGTCGGCCCAGGCTACGTTTTACCACGATGAACCAGAAGCTGGTCACGATCCTTGCGTTTGCTGTACCAAGCCAGACATGCCATGGGTCGATGGGGATTCCCGGCTAACCAACCGTTTGGCATTCGGCAGGCACAGCCATACTTCAAGTACCGCTATCGGAGACTTTGATCTTGCGCTCTCGTACAACGCAGGCGCGCCACGCATAGCGAACACGTCGGTCGATCCGTGTGTGGCACACTTGGAGTACAGTCTTCTTATATACCCCAGGTGGAAAAGTACCAGATGGAGTAGTTCAGAAACAATGGAATTGCATTGCTTGGGGTATTCCAACAACACAGTGTTCAGCGGACATCCTATACGGTATGGACTACGGTAGGATCGAAGCCCACACGCTCACAGGATACACCGCATGAGCAACCCCCATGCCCCATAAAATGCAATTTCACAGCTCCATACCAAAAGAGCCAACACGGGGGGTAGTGTGTAGCGAAGCGTACGAATCATGTGCTGATCTCAGGACGTCGTGAGACAGAGAGAGAGTAATATCACGGTTGAGGGCATCTGTTATCGACGCTAACCGAGTGAATAGACCCTGACGAATGCAGACTATCTTGCACAGAGTATCAGTTTTCTCATTGGAAGGGAAGCAATAGAGATGAGATGCCAAAAACACGCTCTTGAAGAACACGCAACACGTTCTCGTACAACAAACACACAAAAAGACTCAAAAAGCCACCGCACAAAGAAACCACAAACGACTTGGAAGACTCGTTCGTACCGGGATGAGCCACGGCAGGGCACGCTTCACCCTCGGGTGAAAAACCACGGCCAGGCGGAGCGCGCGGCAGATGTACCTCCCGAACAGCGCGGGCGAGATGAAGAAGAGGAACAGAGATGTCCAGAACCAGTCGAACCCGGTGTCCCAGATGACGGTGGTGGCATCGTTCACGGTGACGAGCATCGTCAGGATACCGGCCACGCCCCCGACCATGACCAGATACGCAGACCTATTTTGTGGTACGTATGCGATGCAGTGGGGGATCCCGCGTTTTGGAGGTTCCGCGCAATTCCGCTGAAGTCCCTCGGAGGTCCTAAAACCCTAAATATCTCGGGAGTCTCTCTAGCAGTCGGTGTCCCCGAAAAAGCGTCGAGGGTGCCAAACAAGAGCAGCCTTGAAAGGCTCATCTTGGTAGGGCCACGCGCATTGTCTCATTTGCAGCCTTTCGCTGTGCGTTTGTGTGACATAGCTTAGATAAACCCTCTACATGACTGGGTTGATTTGGCTCTCTTTTCACAACACCAGCAAGCACCCAGGCAGTAATATCGCTTGCTCCCATCGGCTCTGGCCTGCTTGTCTCTGCTCTCTCTCGCGCACGCGGGACCGGATTGATCACATGTTTGAAGGGTGCTCATGTGCCCACCGTGGTACTTTCCGTTTGGATCCTACAGCGTAGTCCAATAGGGATTTCATTGGTTCTCGAACGGGCATCTGCACCACGTCAGAGAGAAAAGACAGGTATATGCGTGTGCCACGTTGCTATTACGCTTTGGGGTGGGCTGCCTTTTTTTGTCTCTCTGCTGGTCTCTAGATACGTGTGTTATTGTGGCGAGGCACCCCGGCGATCTTTCGGCGGTGAAAGTTATCGGAACTGAAAACGAAAATGAAAACAGAACTGAATCGGGCCTGTAGTCACATAGTCGACCGCGCTAGCCGGCTCTGATCAAGGAAAATACGTCAGTGCGAGCGAGTCAAATCAAGGTCCCTGAAACGGGGCAAAGATCCAAAAAAAAAGCACCGCACTAAAAAGAATATCAAACACAACCTTCTGTTCTAGAAGTCCTCTCTGAAAGATGCACAAGAGCTTTGCACATACCCGGCGTGCCCATAAGCACGAGCGGAGTCTCCGTAACCTTTGAACCGATGACCCGTATTGCTCGCCGAAAACAGCTGTAACAACCGCCTTATTTGGGGGCAGGATATATTGCGGTCCTGTAACCGCTAGACTATATTGTACGGAGGGGTGCAGCAACACCACGAGCTATTGCTATCCCATTACAGGACCCGAGATTTCGCCAAGCAGGGAACGGCTTCTCTATATTAACCAAGACCCCCCACGCTGTGTGTCCAGTCGGGAACCATTCATATTTTAGGTCACATACATTTTGTGGTACCTGTGATCCTGTCCAAGTAGGACAATAATTTAATAATTTTGACCAGTCTACATTCAAATCGTATTTAATTCCATTCCAGTTTCTGGCCCCGACAGGGGGGCAACAAGTTGGTTTGGGCAAGAGCTGCTGTGCTCTCAACGAGAGAGTACAATGCACTCCGCTTGCTATCGTCGAAGCAGTGCCTTACGGCGGTAGAAGGAGCGCAACGCCCGGTGATGGTACTCTACACGGCAAGTCGGGGCATGTATACTAGAGTATCGATGAAAAAACTCGTGGCGGTGTCAGCAGAGATGCAGAGCGGTGCACACATCTCCGTGCAGACTGCCGAGCCAGAGGTCGGGAGGTCGGCATGCACATATACACATCCATCCGCGCGGCTGCGGGCTTTCAAACAAACTAAATCCAGAAAAACGTCCAAAAGTTGAAAATGTTATGAGCTCGCGCCGACCTGCCGCGAATCCTTTGATACGAAGCTATCTATGCATGCATACGTACGTATTTACTGCTGTCGTTTCTCTGCTGGTAGCGTTTACAAATTTGCATGTACTTGCATCACCCCTTGCCGCGGTGCTCTTTTTTCCCCACTCCGGAGGGACGCCTTGTATGTATATGGAGAAGTGTGTCTCTCGCATGCATGACCCTGCTCCTTTTTTGTTCGATGCACGAAAACACTACAAGGGTAGTGACTCTCAAGAAGTGAGACTACAGAGCCGTCCGGGTTAGGGGCGCCTATTCCGACACAGGCCAAGCCTACATACCTCGTGCGAATATCCAATATCTGCTTCAACCGGTAGAAGCGAGCTAATGCGCAGGTTCCGAGCACGATGAAGCAGCACCCGACTCCCAGTCTGAAGAGCGCCAAGGCTGCAAGGATGAACGGGCGTGAAAATTCTGGCGCATTTTATTCTCATGGGTTTGTCCAGAAGAAAGTTATTTGTCATCTTGGTATCCATAGTCATTCATATGCATACCCATCTTCTTTTCTCACTCATGTTTTTCAGAGGGTTGTTCCTAGACTATTGATCAGCCCCTGTATAGTGTCGGTACGAAAGAGGCAGCGAGACGCAACTCGTGATGAGACAGCAGCGTTGGTTACAACGCGTGTGTGGTGACCGATAGAAACAAACGTGGCCGACAAGTTGTTGAAGCACGTGTGTGTATCACTCTCTTGATGGTCTCTACTGCTCTCTACCGCTCTGTCCGTCTCTCCGTCTCTTTCTTAGAAAGTAAACTCTTGGTCACTCGGAGTTGACGTCGGAATATAAATCCGTTTTTTTCTCCCTAAACTTCAAGGATTGTATGCACAAGGGTTGCTGCAACGCTGCGACAAAGCATGTCTAGAGCCTGAAGGCAAAGACTCTCGAGAGGGATTGAAGTCGGAAGCCAGGACAGAGGAGTGACATGGGCAAGGGGCGTTGAGGTCTGGGCATCCTCGGGGAAAATAGTCAATCGCGCTTGCTTGCTGTGTATGTATACCAAACGGATTTCTGCGGATTACCCCTGCCACAACCGTGTTGTTGAAACTGGACTCTCAGTCTCTCAGTATAGGACACAGCAGCAGCGGACATAAACGAAGCAAAAAAAACAACGCAATTACCCGTGTATCAAGTGCTTTGCGATATCACCGCTGAGGACACAAGACAATGGCGCCATTGTGTATCCCCCTCCCTGTGCCCTCTCTCTGACTCACCCTTATCCGTGCGCGTGTAGCTCGGGACCAAGCTTGACAGATCGAGATCGATATCCCCATCACCATAATGTTGCTCCCAAGAAGTTGACGTTCCAGGACCACCCGTACCATCAAAGGAACTACCCGCAGCACTTCTGCTAGACCTCTCCATGTCAATCGAAGACGGTGGGTCACCAGCGAAGGTTGGTGTGATATGCCTTCTCTTGCATCTGCCTCTGCCTTGTTCGCCTCAGGTCTGAGCAAGCTGCGATCCGACCTGCAGCAGTAGCTGTCCACAAGTGCGGGCGAACAGTAGCAAGTAACCAGCTGCTGACCACGCACGACGCACAATAAAAAAACAAAACGCATGCACCCAATCCCGCCGATTCGTGCGTCGTGGACAGTCCCGCCGATCCACAAAATGTGCACGGAGACCGCTTCACCACCGACGGCGATTTTGGGCTACTCCAAGCACCTACCCACGCCAGTACCAATCTATCTAGCACATATCTAAGCAAAACAAAAACGAACCGTAGAACTTATGTCACCGTTATTTTGCTGTAGAACCTATAAATGCACCTGTACACATTTTCTGGTCCCGTAGATGACGGATGCCGCATTCGTTAGACATGGTTTCGGAAATCCTCGACGAGACAGCAGTTCCAACGTTCTAACGCAGCAGTTTTCGGCACCGACTTTTGTTTACTGCAGAGTAATCGAGGTTTGACAATACCGTATATGACACAAGATAACACACCCCCTGGCCCGATTTTCAAAGCTCGATTACTCGGTGACGAAGAGGATACATAAACGAAATGATACATTTTCAAAAAGCTCTCAACGAGGCGGTTCCAACGCCGCCGTTTTCGGCGCTGTGAGTCTTCCTGCTGTTGAGAAATAGAGCTTTGAAAATCGGTCAAGGGGGTGTGTTATCTTGTGTCATATACGGTATGTCCAGGGCATGCATGTGGCATCTTACGCAACCCAACGGTATCCTGGCAAAACATCAACCCGTACAATGTGATGCAACTCTTTTCACTACATACAAAAAATCACCTCGAAGCTGTGTGAAAATTGGCCCCGACCACAGATGTAGCGGTTGTTGCTGCTGCTTTCCTTTGCTATTTCCTTGGTTATATTCTCCCATCGCCTTGCACGAACACCCTGCCGGAATAACACAAAATAAATGTAGAGTGAGTCTTGAGTGAGTGAGTGGTGAAATGGCACGGGGAAGACCCGTAACAACCTCATTTTTTTCGTTCTGTGACCAATCCATGTGGATGGGCACTCTTGGAAACGTGATCATCCTTTGCAACGTGGCAACGGGGCACCGTGGTACCTTGACAACGTGGCAACGTGGCAAAGCTTGGCCTGAATTCCGAAAGACTCTCGCGTGCCTTCCCACCCGACTCCGCATGTGAAGAAGTAGACTACAATAGACCCACAGAGACTGCTTGTTGTATACGTGCGTCTGCTTCTATACCAGAGGTCGTGTACGAGGTAGAGTCACTGAGACGCTATGCATATCACTGCGTACGGTATGCAATTTCGCAATGTCGAAGGTGTGCCACAATAAGCAAGCCACGTGAATGCATGCATCAAATAGTGGTATGTAGGTGTTGAGGAGGACCCGATTCGCAGGGTATCCGTCGATTGACTTTTACCAGAATCGGTACACCTTCGCATATGGCGTCAGCTGGATACTGGTTCGAATCTCCTTGTGTGCACGTTTTTTCTCCTGACTTGGACATTTTCCCATGGACACAATGTGTGTCAGTCCTGAGAACACCTCTTGGAATCGATCCTATAAAGAACCTTGTGACACTTCCATCGAATTACCCGTCCTGGCCACAAGAGGTTCCCAGTTGAGGGTAATTTCTGTGGGTGGAGAGTGTTAAGGAGGACCCGATTCGCAGGGTATCCGTCGATTGACTTTTACCAGAATCGGTACACCTTCGCATAGGTATGTACAGCACATCATCAATCAATCCTGTCACCCCAAACCAACACAACTTGAGTCTTACCACTCATGCTCACCTGTTGCAGCCCCTCGGCTCCCGACTGCAGGAGGAGTATAGGTTGTCGTTTTACCGCGCGCGGTAAACACCAAATAGTAAATAAATATGATATCCCGGCAGCCTGGTTGTTATTTCGTTATGACTTCGAGTATTTCCGCTGAAAAGTCTATCGACACACCGGGTTCGGATGCTGGATAAATTGTGAAACAACAACAGATACATATATTCTGTAGCGTTCTGCCCGGCAGTTAGGAATATTTCGTGGAGAAACAGAGAGGCTCAACTTTCACGAAGAAAGTGAACAAAATAGGTCGAAGAAGACGTAATAGCTACACAGCTCGCGGAGGATTTATCCTACACCAAACTCTACCAATACTTCGTACTAGATAAACTGTGCTCGACAATGAATGCCGATGAAATGAGTTACTGAGCCTCGGCCCGATTTGGACGTTTGTTTCTTATCTCTCTGCGGGCCCGTGTACTGTATGCATATATACTTCCGGAAGTATACACCAACACATACGGGAAATATTTAACCGTGACGGCGAGTAAGTGACGGCTGTAGGGTAGAGAAGATAATACGTAGTACACACCGTGTTTTCTAGAGAATTTGAAGAAATAGTCAGGATTTGAACTGCTTCGCGGCTACCCAATTCAATCGCGCCAACCCCCCGTGAGGCACACGCTTGATTGAGAGTTTTTTCGAGTGTTCTGTGGAAACAGAGAGAGTCAGGGTATTGGGTTTCGCGCGAAATGTGCTCCGCGGTTATCACGAGTACACCTTGGAGACACAGTGAGATGTAGAACGCGTTACGAACGAGAAAACAACCCCGGTCATACCGTTGCAGGTGATGTTCCACACCCAAGAGTTGGAAATTAATCCATACCGCAAGCCGCTCCAGAAGTTCATTGATGTGACGACGAGTTTCGTCGTCGTGTTCTCAATGGGCAATGCGTAAACCTCTGACGCAGCGGCCAGCGACACGTGACACTCAACGGTTGGGAGAGGTGCCAGACCTCGAGGAGGTGGCACGGGCAGCGAAAGGCCTTAAGAACTGGAAGGCACCCGGCCATGACTCCCTCCCTGCCGAGTTGCTCAAGATCGATGACGACGAACCCGTTGTCCTGAGACACCTCCATACCATCCTCGTCAAGGTGTGGAACGGAGGAGATATCCCCCACGAGTGGAAGGACGCAACCATCAAGGTGCTGTACAAGAAAGGTGGTCGGTCCAACTGTAACAACTACAGGGGGATTTCGCTACTATCTCACGTAGGCAAGGCCCCCATCAAGATCATCACCAACCGGTCTAAGCGCCTTCTGCGAAGCCAACAACATCCTCCCGGAGGAACAGTGCGGATTTCGACCCGGGCGATCCACCGTCGACATGCTGTTGGTCGTGCGCCGCCTCCAGGAGCTGGGGCGGATAAAGAAAACACCGCTCTACATGTGCTCCGTCGACTTGAAGAAGGCGTATGACTCGGTGGACCGAGAGATGCTATGGAAGGTGCTGGCCAGGGCCGGGATTCCCGCGAAGCTAATCAAAGTCATTCGCCAATTCCACGATGGAATGCGGGCCCGGGTGCGCATAGACGACGGAGAACTATCGGACTGGCTCTTCGTCACACAGGGCGTGCGACAAGGATGTGTGGTATCCCCACTGCTGTTCAACATCTTCTTCGCCGAGGTCCTCGAGGTCGTCGTTATCCGATTCACCGAGGATGATGTTGTTCCGCGGAATCTGGTGTGCTTGGAGAAGGGGAAGACGGAAGCGGGGGGGGGGGAGGAGACACCCCTTGACCGAGTACGGAGAGCACTATGGGGGATGCTGTATGCCGATGATGCCGGCGTCGTATCGAGGTCTGCAGAAGTGGGGATAGTATTCATAAGATGATAATAGTATTCATAAGAGAAAGGCGCGCAGATGAATGCCTTTTTCAAGGCAGGGGAGTTGAGTCCTTGATCAACTATGGAAAATCTAGGAGGAGACAGGGTGTCCCGTAAGGGATCGTGGAAGTGACCGTAAGAGGCGTGACGTCCAAGCCATCCTAGGGAGATGGACGGAGGCTGCGATCATCTGACGGACACTGAAGGGGTCGGGCCATTTCCGGAGCTATCGACGTTTCTCTGTCGTAGACTATGAGTAGGAGCAGTTCTCCGCCTTGTAGCAATGCGTGGACGTTACCAAAACCGTCAATGATAAATAGCGCATGAGCGCAACCCCCCGTTCCCCCTTCCCCCCTCACAAAATCCGCAACAGGTCGGTGAGACGAGAATTAGGGTTTTCGTCAGTCATAGGCGGCGGCTCGCAACGGACACGTGGCGACAGCGAAGAGGAAGCCAGACTCGAAGAAGGACAGCGTGAAGGAGTCCCGGGCAAGGGTACAACAGCAGTAGCAGGAGGAGATGGTGACACTGGCGATGTCCCCACCTCGGCCGCCATTGGCAGGGGTGCGACTACGGCATCCACCGCCGACGCCGACGGTGCCGTCGCCCCCTGTACGTGGAACGAGCGGGAACCAACCAATTCCTCCGTCGTTGCGGAGGGATCGTCTTCCGTATCCAACGACAACAGCACCCGCGGCAGGCGTGGCGCTTTCCAGAGGGTGCAGAGAGCGAGGGGCAGCGGCCGAGACCGCGGTTGCAGTAGTCGAAGTCGTTCGGATAGAGAGGAGATGGAGGTGTGGGACTTCGAGCGGATTGCGAGTACGCCCCTGTTGGCCGCCGCGTTCGAGGACTATTCTAAGAGGGCGCTTTGCCACGAGTCGGTGCTCTTTCTGAGCGAGGTTTCTCGGTGAGTAAAGCCCAAGGATCGAGGGAAATAGATGGGCAGATACTTCCAGCAATGGTCCCTCCGGAATGTCGATTGAATAGCGCCTGCCCGGTATAGTGCCGAAGTTTCGGCAGGCACATGCCGCCACTAATCAGGGACCATTTACTGTGGCTTATGAGAGGAATCAGGATTGATGTGGTGGTATGCATGGTGTTCGGCGCATAGACTATTGCTCATTCCGCCATCTTGTTTGTGCCGTGTTTTCCGATACATTTGTTGTGGATTGGATACCTTCGTACACCGCAGCCAGTGAACGAAGGGTTTCTGCGCCCTTCCGCGTGATACCCCTGTCTTCCGACTATCGAAGGCGTACGGTGTCTTCGATCGTTCCCTGCGGTCTCTGTAGTCGTGGATTTGGATGATGTTAGCGTGGAGTTCCTCCAACCATTTCGAGTCGGTGAGGAGTGCTCTTCCACCGTTAACGGTTGATGCCCCCAAACGGTTACGAGGCCATAGTCTTGTCCCTTCCCATCTCGAGGCGAGGAGCGGTTGCTTGAAACCGCCGTCGCAAGAGTAGAGTTGATGTGGAAACAATGAGTTGGCCGTTCCAGCTTTGCCACTAGGGTTTCCTCTGTAGGAGGCTGCGAACTGCACTCGGCTCCGCTATAAGGTTGTTGCTGGCATCACGTTCCTGCCCCTGGAATCAGAGAGATTTTCAAGCATGTGAAGAGCAAAGCCTTCTTTGTCGTGAAATACCAACGCCCTTCTCGCCGATGTAACAACGGTCTGCGCGCGAAGGCACGTGTTTGTACACGGCCGCATTTCCGCGCGCCCTGTCGCGTTCTCTGTGTAGCGGGGAGATGTGCATGCGATTCACAATGTGCGACCGAACGTATCGCCTGGGCCTGTAAAGAGGCTCGTGCGTTGCAAGCATTGTGGGGACGTTTCTTCGTTGCATACAACTCTGCGAAACGAAATCCGAGAGCCCCTAAAACTTTCATATCGTCTGTGGAGTATTGTCACCGCGGCTGCATATGGTTGGTTGTCCGTGCTCGATATTTGGAACAAGTACTCATACCGTATCGGGTAAGGTATACTGCAGAAACGCCAAAGTTGAGGTTCGCCCCATCTTATAAACTCTATTGTCGCAAAATCGCCGCCCATGACCTTGTTTTGTCTCTTTCCCGCGTCAGGTACCAGAACAATAACTACCCCATGCCGACAAGAGCATCTTCCGCTTCATCTCCGAGAATTCAGTTTGGTTCGTTCTGCTATATCACGGATACCTTCATCAAGGCCGGCTCACCTGAGGAAGTAAACATAAGGTGAGGTGTAGCAGAGACTGACGAGCACGACTCAAAACACAGCGTTCCATGTTAGATATCTGTAAGGGTTCAATCCCTTGTCTGGTCAAGTGTGATGCTGGAGTGGAAGCGGTGGTTGAACTCAAGCTATGTTGGACACGGCGTTCTCGAGGGGCGGTGTCGAGGGTCGAGGGAAGGCTGGGTGCAGATTGATCCAGCGCTTCATGCGATGCGTCTGGATGTACTTGGCGCTCCTTGTTATGTCACAGTATGTATGAATGTCTTGTTCGATTTTGTACGAGCACGCACGTGGAGTTTCAAAACTGCAGGCTACAAGCCTCACACCAGTCTGAGGTGGACACAGTTTCTATCAGGCTGCGCGAAAAACGCCATAATTTTCTCTCGACAAGATCAAGGTTCCGGGATTCAGGTTGTTTGCCTGTGGCTGTACCGACTGCCTGCTGCTGGCTGATTGGCTGCTGCCTGCCGTTCTTTGTGACGTGACCTAGGGCCGTTTTTTTGCGTTACATGCTCGTTTCGTTGTTCTCTCGTATTTAAGCGAAACGGGGAAGAGACTGATACTCGATCTGTACAACAACGGCGAAGAATTATTCGATGATGTCAACGTGGAGGAGAGAAGGTGAACGTGGAGAGATGCGGCGGGAAAAAAAACGCGTTCAACACACGAGTGCTCGTGCCGACGTTTGTGCGAGTATATACCCGCTAGAGATATTTCATGATTGTTGCCTTCATTGGCGGTGTATTTCACTTTCACGTAAATTTCGAGAGCACATTGCAGCGCACGAAACCCACTTCATGTAGGAATATGTCTTGTTCTTCGGCGGTGTGACCCACCACTGTAGCATCGGGACAATGCGTGTGAAGGAGGTTCTATTGGATGTGAAGGCGGCGCCCAACCCCTAAGCCCAGGATTCATATAGATCCGTGTGCTCGTCTGACAGGGCTAGGTGTAGCGGCCATGGCCAAGCTAGCCGATAGACATATGAACACTCCCCACCTCCTGCCGCCCCCGCCAAACCACAACGTGGACACCTCGAAACTCAATCACGACTTTCAGGATGATATTTTCGCGAGCGCATCGGGACGTTAAGAATATGCTGGAAGCCAACCTGGTCCTCCGCTTCCTCAACACGGACCGCTTCAAGAACGTGAGGGTGCAAAGAGAGAATATGAAGGCCATGATGGGCTCCCCACCCCCACAGGAGGGACAGTAGTTGGTTTCGATATGAGGACACACACATAGGTAGCAGTGTCGATATGCAGGCCTGGGGCTGGGTTCCTTGCGTTTAAGGTGTTCGGATAAGGGTTAACGAGTTCACACTTCCCCCCTCCCTTTTGTACCGATTATTCTCATACGCGAAGTACAATTTGAGCCGAAGATTACTGAGCTGGGTGACGCAGGGCGTTGGATGTGATTGTGCTATCCATCGAGAGACCATGACCCCCCCGCTGAGGCGTGCGGCAGGATTAGCACCCATTGAAAATATAAAATATCGTCGTTAAACGTGATCCGGCAAGGGCTGGGAGTGAGTTCTCCAACGTGTAGGTAGTATACGCATGCCAGGGAATTGGATGGTCGACTTTGTGGCCAGTTTTCTCCGGACTTCCTATTGCCGCCCGGATAATTATATAGAGAATCGAAACTGAAACAACGCTCCCACATGAGCGGGGCTAGCAAAGAGGAATTCGATGGTTTGAGCTGTTTGGGCCTCTCCCTGCCTTCCTGCTGGGAGACCTGAAGCTAGAGAGGCGACAACCTGTAATAAATTTTGTAGATACGCGTTTTAACTGCACTGGAACGGAAGAGCCTGGAAGCAGTGTACCGGGCATCTGAATGGGTGTTGCCGGAAACGAGTCATTCGGCTCGACGTTCGGCAGCCACATCACGAGTGAGGCACAGACCAACAATATCTGGGTGGAGTGTTCAGGGAAGAATGAGCACGGAAAGGATTCCGCGCGCGAGAAGAGGAAGAAGTGGTGATCGTGGTGTAGCGGTGGATTGGAACATAGCTAGCCTACAGGCTGGCCGCTGCTCGCGTTCTCTCGAAGTCACAGCCATACTCGCCGCCTACCCGTGAAATGAAACACAGTAGGCGGCGGACAAGGCGCCCAGAGCCCCGGGTCTTGTCGTGGTGTCTGAGGGAAGTGGTTCATCGTGCATACAAACCGCGTTTGGTCGTGGTCGGTGAGACAAGTGGTCACGTGAGAGTGACTGGGCAGCAAAGGCTTTTATGAGACCTTGAAGTTCTACTGTACGTTTTAAATGTGGGAGGCAAAGCACACCACTTCTAAACCCGCCGAGGCCGTCAAGGTAGGTAACAACCCCCGAAGCAGAGACAACCTTATTTAGCGTATTCTACGACTGATATTTTTCAGGGGCGATACACTGGCCACCGATTTGCAACATTGTTTTTTCTTTTTTTTGTCTTCACTTCAAATCAGCGCTCACAGCACTAGTGCCGTTTACTCCAACCCGTGGTCACACAGAAGAGAAGAGCCCCTCTCTACCCTCCCCTCCTGCGGTACGTTGCCTTCGATTTTTAATGTGAGAAGAGGTCAGCACTCTCTTCCCTCTGTGTACACACGAACTAGCGCTATCCACTAGACCAGGAGCGGAGCGAGAGAAAAACTCACTTTGCAAGAAAACTCGCTTACGCCGGGATTTACAACACTAGCGTCAGGATATTGAGGGCTAAAACCACATACTTCGAACCGCATTCAGGCGACGCGGATGTGGCAAACAAAAATACGACACTAGCAAAATGCATCAAAACACCCAAACAAGTGAACTACAATGCAAGAAATGAAGCGAACGAAGTGTTGGATGCTGTGCATATGAAAATAGAACATCACAAGAACACGGAATATACACAACTCGCCCTTCTTGCCCGTATTCGAATGGCGATTTGCGAACATGCGGCAGCAGCAGCGAAACCGTGTCCAAAGCTACCGTGAAGCAGCTGCTGAAAACATACATACACAGGCTGCACCCGTGAATTCATTCCCCAGCCGAGCACTCGTTTACCATCTACCATTGGTAATGACGAACAGCAAGCAATGCCTGTTGATGCGACCAGGCGACAGACGCGACCAGGCGGCGCGACCTCATGTTCATCTTCCGCTCCCATCATCCGCATCATCCGTGTTTTCTTCCCCCCGTATCCGACTGTCTTTACCTCTCACTCCGGCATGTCAAACGGTTACCACTGAGGGACAGACACAGCGATCAACAAAAATATCTGGGTTGGTCGAGTTTCTCGTCGCCAGCCAGCCCCAGGTAAGATCTCGGAAATTCCTCCACCAAAAACGAGGTGACAACAGAAGAGATGCGCTTGTCGCGGAAGGGCTACTATATGCCTGCTTGTGTGACATGCTGCCTTGTTATGGTCGACCCCGCAGCTCCACCTCCAACCATTGTTTCCATTTTCGCAACCGTTCAACCCAAACGTAGGTCCGCAATGATATGTTGTCAATTAGAAGCCGGTGCTCAGTGTGTTTGAAGTCGACATCCTCTTTTGTCGCGTGACGCTTTCACTCCAGGTCTACCGCAGAAGGCCTGCTGCTTCCGCCCCGCACAATACCCAATGCCGACCCTGCCGGACACAACCTCCTGAATTTGTCCATCTTCATGAAAATACATGCCCTGTCTCTATCGATAAACGTTTTGGCTCACCATGAGCTTGTAGCGGCGAGGTGAATAGCCTACTTGCTGGTTGTCAAACTCTCGGCCTTGTCGTGGCCAATTCCCCGCAAGTCCACCTCTAAATAAAATGTTCGTAGTCGTCCAACCCAAACACATTTTGAACCCGTCTCCCCCCCCAGCGCACTTACGTTCACACACGCGATTCAGCGAACTCCCTACCGCCACCTCGCGTTTCACTCCAAGTCTACAGTTGTCGGCCCGCTGCTCCCGCTCCGCAGACTACCTAGCCAGTGCCAAAAAAACAGCAACAATCTCGGTGTCGTGTTCTTGGGCAGTGCGGTGATGCTTGGACCGAAAGGCACCGCACCGTCACTTTCCGAGGTGAAAAACTCGTGCCACTCCGCGCTTCGCCACACCGCGCTGTAACATGAAAACAACCGCACAGCACCACACCGCAACGCACCCTCTCGCAAAAACGCACCGCACTTCAACCGAATCCAAACACGCACCGCACGGTCGTGGTAGCGTGAGAAAAACCGAACAGCCGCGCTACATCTGAGTGCCCCTGCAAATAACCCCTCCCTGTGTTCCCACCTGCATGAAAACGAATGTCCTGCTTTGGCTAGAATAGTACAACCAACGAAGCTCTCCCGCCCTCGCTGGTACCACTTGGAACGTTACGAGTTTCTGGAAATCCGCCCAGCCTGAAGCAGCTCCGCCACACATGCATCACGAACTGCGGAGGACGTCGAACCAATTACCTCCACCCGAACAACACGCGTCCAAGTTGGAGTACAACAAAGTCCTGCTGGCCCTTCAGTCCAGCTTCAAGGAGCGTCGCTAGGTGTTCTCCCCCCCCCCCCCTCTCTCTCTCTCTCTCTCTCTCTCTCTCTCTCTTACCCCCCTCTCTCTCGCGCGGCCTCTCTTAAAAACAACCAAGTCCTCAGCACACACACCCGCCAATGTGAGTGGTTCATTGCACTGTCGATTGGCGTTGACCCGGGCGTCTGAAGGAAGGCCTGGGAGGTTGGCGTCAACATCAACTATTCAATCCCCTCGCATCAATCTACCCGCAAGCTGGAAAACCCACTCGCCACCCCCTGCCTTTTCACGCTCCACGAAAATATTTTCGGCGGTGATACTGGTCCGCTCGAAGTGCGTTCCGCTTGAATTTGTCCCCACATCTGCAAAAAGTAACCGTACTCCGACAAACCTACCGTGCCATCCCAACCCGCAAAGGAATCCAGCCCGCGTAATCATTGAGCTTGTCTAGATATAAATCTAAGAAACTGCTACTCCCGCCTGCAGGGACAGGGAGTCCACCATAACCTGGGTGTTCTCCTTCTGCATCTCCACGCTCTTGAAGCGGTCCGTGTTCAGAAAGCGGAGGAGGAGATTGGCTTCCAGCATACGCTTCACCGCCAGATACGCTCGTCTGAAAATCATCCTGAAAAGCCGTCATTTTGGGGGGTTTAGGCTGTGGTTAACGGGGGAGGTGGGGTGTTTCAGCTCTGCCGCCTTGCCTGGACATGGTCGTTAAACCCACCCCTGTCAAAACGAGCACACGGACCTACGTTAACCCTGGGTGGAGGGGATCGGCGGCGCCACCATATCCAACAGAATCTCCTTCACACGCACCATCCAAGTGCTTGCGAGTGGGTCCCAGTGCTGGAGAACAAGAAATTTTTGCCGGAAAACATGAACGTGGTTTGATGCTCGAAAAACACTCTCTTTAACTCGAAATGTCCGGGAAAGTGAGATAGCGCTAATGAGATCGATAATGACATACCAATTTTCTTTCACGACCAAGGAAAAGCACGCGAGTGCGTACGAGCGTCGGAAACGATAAAACCTGTGTCAACACGCGCTTTCTCCTGTCATGTCTCTTTCCCGTTTACCTTCTCTCCTCGTCGTTGACGTCCTCGAAGAGCTCTTCGCCCTTGTGGTACAACGCGAGGATAAGCTTTCTTTCCTTGTCGCTGAAGTACGAGAAAACAACGGGGAAAGCATGGAAGCACCGAACGGGGGCCTCTGTCACGAAGTCAGGCAGCAGAACAGCCAGCAGGGGGAATTCGGTAAAGGAGCTCCAAAGATATGAACCACCCGGAACATCGTTCGGGTAGATATTTAGGAAATGATGGCGTCTCAAAGACAGCCTGGAAAAAAAACGTTGTGCCCATGTCGAACTAATATGAGGTTTGTGGCCGGATCTTGAGCTGGCGTGGACCTTCGCTTCACGTTCATGTTGGTTAACGCGGAAGATCAAATTATTGTACCTAGCTCATAACAGAGCACTACACCGCATGGTGTGCTGGACCAATTCGCACCCAGCCTATAACCCCCTGAAATAGACGCCGTTTCCGAACTGGCTTGAATGCAATCGCCGCCGCGACAATAGCATCACGTCCGACCAGATGAAGGTTTGGTGGCGTTCGCAAACACGAGTACAAACATCCACGTCAACGTGTTTTGAGTCGTGCTCGTCTTCCCTGTTGCAGCTCACCTAATGTTTACTTCCTCGGGTGAGCCGGCCTTGATGAAGGTGTCCGTGATGTAGCAGAACGTGCCGAACTGAGTCGGAAATGATGACCCCGAAGATGCTCTTGTCGTCGTGGCATAGTCGCCGTTCTGATACCTGACGCGAGAGAAACAGGGTTTCGGGCATCGATTGACCGAGAGTAGATTGTACGTCGGGGTCGAATTTTCCCTCAAAGTAGACTTGGTTATAGAAATAGCTCGATGCCGTGTTTTCGTTGGCTCCAATATGGAAAACTACCAACAACGCTGACAAAGATGACAATATATCAGCAGGCGAAAGGAGATTTTTCGGAGAACCTTCTTGCGGAGTTGTACGCAACAAGCAAAATATCGACAAAGCAGGTGTTCCATGAGCCTGATGCTTGAAAAGCACAAGCCTCCATACAGAACCAGGACATGCGCTCGATCCCGCGTCGCGCTTAGCATGCGTCTGTCCACACGAGGTAAATAGCGTGACGGGGGAGCGATGGCAAGGCGGCTACAAAGAAGTGTCCCTAAGCGCGCAGCCGGGCCGCATGCCGGTGAGACGGGCCTTCTGCCGGTGAGGAGGGCTTCTCCATTTCATCACGACGAAATACGTTTTGCCCCTTCACACGCCTTCAAACAGCCCGTTCTGATCTCGGCGGCCGGAAGGTGATGCAGGCAACCACCCTGATACAGAGCTGAGTACGCGGAGCTGAATACAGTACGCAGAGCTCAGTACAGTACGCAGCCCGCTGAATAGGACCACACCCCAGTAGCATAGTCGGAACGGCCGCTCCAATCTTCCCCCGAATAAACTCTACTCTCGCGACCGCGGTTTCAAGAGAATGTTCATCCACATCTTCTCGGCATGCAGGGACAACATTCCTGGGCATGAAGCGTTAGGCGTGGAAGAGAACTCCGCAGCGACCCAAACGGGTTTCATATAGTGACTCAAGCCGATTACGTAGGCATTCACGACCGCGCAGACCGCTGGGAACACTCGAAGAAGACACCGAAACGCCTTCGAAACGCAAGGGTCCGCGGGGTGCCCGGAAAACTTTCGTATCACACAGCAGGACTGGTGATATCGTTCGCTGGCCGCAGCGTACCAAGACGTCCAATGCACACGATAGTGTCGGAAAGCAAGGCTACAAACAAGATGAGGGAACCAACATGCGCACGGCATCAGAACACTATAACTCCCACCACACCATCCTTATTGTCTGTATTTCTATGTCCATCTCTCCCCCCCCGCCCCCCGCCCCCCCGACTTTACTCACCGAGAAACCTCGCTCAGAAAGAGGAAATGACTCGTGGCAAAGCGCCCTCTTGGAATAGTCCTCGAACGCGACGGCCAGCAGGGGTGTCCTCACAATCCGCTCGAAGTCCCACAAGTCTATGTCCTGCTTATGCGAGCGACTTCGACGGCCGCCATCGCGGCCGCGGTCGTCGCCTCTCTCCGTTTGCCCCGTCCGGACAGCATCAAGTCTGTTACCTCCGATGCTGTTGTCGTTGGATACGAACCATGTTGCAGTCGTCACGACGGAGGAATTTGTTGGTTCCCGGTCGGTCCACGTGCGGGGAGCAACAGCACCGTTGGCGTCGGCGCTGGATGTGGTTATCACACCCCTGCCGATGGCGGCCGAGGCGGCGACATAGCCAGCGCTACCGCCTCGCCGTTCTGTTGTTGTTATGCCCTTGGCTGGGGCCTCTCCAAGCTTCCCTTCCTCGAGCGTGGTTTCATCTTCGCTTTCGCTACACATCATTGACGAGTCGCAGTCCAATCCTGACGAACACCCCGACGCTCTTCTCGCCGTGCTGCTAGCGAATTCATGAAGGGGGAAGGGGATGTGCTCATACGATTTAGTGTCTGTGAATGGTTTGGTAATGTCCACGCTTTTCTTTGGAGGCGGAAAACTGCAACTGCACCTACTCAAACGACCGAGAGGCGCAGATACCTTCGGAAACGCGCTACAAGCTTGTGCTGCCGAAGAACATTGATGATGACCCGACCTCTTGCGTATCCATCAGACGATCGCAGCCTCCATCTGTCTGTCCCCCAACGACGGCGTGGACAGCCTACCACGTCACCCCTCTACCTCCCCTACCACCAATTCCGAATGTAGACCCCACGTGTCCTCGTAGAATAACCCTCCTCGATCTAGGGTTCGACTCTCCCTTGCCTTGACAAAACGCAACAACTGTAACCTACCTACATACTGGTACGCGGGTGGGCGGTTATCAAACCTTGAGCTATGAGTATTGTCCAAAAGCCGCGAACGATGAAGGGGATTACACGCCAGAACGAGAACAGCAAATCTGTGATATCCCAAAACACCAGAACTCAACAGCCACAACGGAGAACCACCAATAAGCGCCGGCCGGCTGTACCCACAGACCTACGTAGCGCCTTTAGACCCACGACTAAAACGCCGCCGCAAAACCTCAGTGGCGCAGGGTGCTGTGCGTCCGTGCCTGCCTGCTCTCTTGCCATCACTATTGTAACCTCCTGCCCTTCTTGCGCGGTCGCTTACCTGTGGGGTTCCGTGTGGTCAGGCAGTACCCGATTGGCGTAGTTGCGCCTGGTTGCTGCGAAAGGATCCGACGCTAGGCGTCGCAGCGGGGCAACGATGCTGCGCATTTTGGAAGTTGGGGACAACGCGTGATGAAGTCACTGTCGGTACGTGTTTGCATAATTTGCCGTGCACTATACATACGCCGTACGGACACTCAGACGTCCAAGAGCAAGAGGTCACGATACCACGACTTTCGCGTTAGCGCGTGCCGAGCAGTCACGCTCGCCCGTTCGCTAGCGGTCGCAAAATAATGTCCTCAATACATGTTTCCTATCCGAAGCCCGTTCATTACTATCCAAGAAGAGAACCCAAGGTTTGGACGAATCAAGCGACCACATCCCAATATCTAAACCAACTCCGACAAACGGCCGCAGTAAGCCTACCGAATCCTCCGTCCAGACGCTCAACTACGTCATATATCTGATCGACTGAAGACAACCCCCCCCCATACGCACACGCACAACGAGCAGATACACAAAAATCGCACACCTGACGCCGAAGAGAACAATCATGAACAAGACCGAAAGGTTGTTTGCCAACCATCTCCGCTCGTAGCACCCCCCCCACAGGCCGTCGATCTCCTGCACGACTGGTGTGGTCACAATTGAGGGGAGAGGGTGACGATGATGAGGGAAAAGCATAAACGCATCGCCACAATCTCGGCAGTTGCGAAACCGGACAAAAAGCGAGCGTAGGGTGCCGCGCCATCAAGGGTCGACGTATCTTCATCGCGCGCGTCGGAGCATTTCGACCGACCTCTGATATTAGAGAAAATTAGACCATCTGACCAGTCAACATCTGAACAGTCAACTGGTCCGATGGTCCATCTGACCAGTCAACATCTGACCAGTCAACTGGTCCGATGGTCTAATTTTATCTTATAAAATATATGCTCAGAGCTCGTGAGCACCCGGCCGGGACAAATGGCCTTTCGGTTTGATCACTGGGATTGTGAGTAGAGATCTCCGGGGCCGGACCCCTCGCCACACGTTACTGTTTGGTAAACAAATGGTGATTCTTGTTGTAAGTGGACCAACTGGGATTCGAAACCCGTGCGTGTTACCTTCTGTGAGAACGCTTTGACCATTCGTGAATTTTTGTAATGGACCACTGG